TGATGAACTCCCTCAGTTTTTGCTTTTCTGGGAAAGACTTTACCTCTCCTTCATTTTTAAAAGATAATTTTGCCAGTTATAGTACTCTTGGTTGGCCGTTTTTTTCTTTCAGCACTTTAAATATATCATCCCACTCTCTCCTGGCCTTCAAAGTTCCTGCTGAGAAATCTGCTTACAATCTTATGGTGCTTTCTCCATGTGTCACAAATCACTTTTCCCTTTCTGCTTTCAAAATTCTTTTTCTGTCCTTGACTTTTGACAATTTGATTATAATGTGTCTCAGTGTAGTCTTCTTTGGATCGATCGTATTTGGGTAATTTTCAGGTTCATTACTTTGAATGTCATTTTCCCTCCCTAGATTTGGGAAATTTTTAGCCATTATTTCTTTAAATGGGTTTTCTTTCCTTTTCTCTCTCTTTTCCCCTTCTGGAACTCCCATAATGCACATATTGATTCTCTTTTGTTGGTATCCCATAAATCCTGTAGGTGTTCTTTCCTCTTTTTCATGTTTCTTCTCAGACTGGAATATTTCCAATGACCTACTTCAAGTTTGCAGATTCTTCCTTCTGATTGATTGAGTCTGCTACTGAAGCTCTCTATTGTATTTTTCACTTCTTTCATTGTATTTTTCAGCTCCAGAATTTATGCTTGGGTTTTTTTTGTGATTTCTCTTTGTTGAACTTCTCATTTTGTTTGTGTACAATCATGGGTCATTTAAACGTGGGGATACATTCTGAGAAATGCATTGTTAGGCAATTTTGTCATTGTGTGAACTTCATAGAGTATACTGAAGGGGAACAAAATTTGCCTCCCCAAAATGTGTCTCTTTAACATGGGAATTATCTTAGGATGATATTTTTAATTTTTTTTGGTGAGGAAGATCAGCCCTGAGCTAACATCCGTGCTAATCCTCCTCTTTTTGCTGAGGAAGACCGGCTCTGAGCTAACATCTATTGCCAACCCTCCTCCTTTTTTTCCCCCAAAGCTCCAGTAGATAGTTGTATGTCATAGTTGTACATCCTTCTAGTTCCTGTATGTGGGATGCAGCCTCAGCATGGCCAGAGAAGCGGTGCATTGGTGCACGCCCGGGATCCGAACCTGGGCCGCCAGTAGTGGAGTGCGTGCACTTAACCGCTAAGCCATGGGGCCAGCCCAGGCTGATTATTTTTTAAGAAAGAAAAAACTCAGAAAGTTTTTCTTGTTACCTCCTTCTTAACTGCCAGATGAAAAAACTTGTCTCAGGAAGCGAGTTATCACCTTAACATAACATGAACTAGGTGGTTGACAGGGAGGAACCCAGAAAAGCCTGTTTGGTGGACTCCCCTTTGTGGTTTCCTGTTCCTCTGTGGCCAAACACTTGTTTTCTAAACAGTTGCTCCTTTTCACCTCCTTGGTTGCATTCCTTCCCTTTGAAGTCCCTGACTTTCTCCACCCCCAACATCTTCTTTTGTCTTTAGCTGAAGATGGTATTGAAGGTGAGGGCTTTGGCCATTTTGGTTACTCAGTTTTTTTGGGTTTCTCCCATGTTTACATATTATTAAACTTCTTTTTTGTTTTTCTCCTGTTAATCTGCCTTATGTCAATTTAATTCTTAAACTACCCAGAAGAATCTAGAAGATTAGAGGAAAATTTCTTCCTTCCCTACTGTACTTACACAAACCTAAATGGTATAGCCTACTACAAACCTAAGCTATATGGTACTAATCTTATGAGACAACCATTGTATGTGCAGTCCATCATTGACTGAAACGTCATCGTGTGGTGCATGACTACTGTTTTCTTATTTTCATTGAGTTATTTAATTGTGTGCTCTTGTAGTTCACTGAGCTTCCTTAAAACAATTACTTGAATTCTTTGTCAGGCAAGTCATAGATCTCTATTTCTTTTGGGTCAGTTACTGGAAAATTATTGTGTTCCTTTGGTGGTAGTATGTTTTCTTGATTTTTTCATGTTCCACATAGTGTAGCATTGCTGTCTGCACATTTAAGGCAGCAGGCACCTCTTCTAGATTTTATGGACTTGCTTCAGTGGGGAAACACTCTCACCTGTGGGTGGATGCAAGAACATTGGCTAGATGAGGTGCAGCGGCTCTTGCTCTAGGGGGGTACACTGGCAGCTCCAGATCTGAGGGTGAAGAGGGCACAGCAGTGTTGACTTCATGTAGCTCCATCAGCTGAGGTCACTATTGACAAAGACTGTGAGGGTCTTTGGCAGGCAAGGCTGTGGGTGTCTGTGGTGGTGGTGAGGGCTGTTGGAGTATTCAGTGGCAAAGGCTGCTGAGGTCAGCCCACTCTCCTTTTACCGCATGGGGGGATGTTATGGTGGAGGGGATCCCTCTTGGTAACAGAATCTGGTGTGCAGGTATGCACATGGCAGCAGTGCTCATTTATAGACTTTGAAATACTTCAGGGACTTCTTCATTTGAATATTTATTATTATTATTTTATATTTGCCTACCTTCATTACATCAAGATAAGAATAGGACCAGCCCCGTGGCTTAGTGGTTAAGTGTGCGCGCTCTGCTACTGGCGGCCCGGGTTCGATCCTGGATTCACACTGACGCACCGCTTCTCCGGCCATGCTGAGGCCGCATCCCACATACAGCAACTAGAAGGATGTACAACTATGACACACAACTATCTACTGGGGCTTTGGGGGAAAAAATAGTAAGAGGATTGGCAATAGATGTTAGCTCAGAGCCGGTCTTCCTCAGTAAAAAGAGGAGGATTAGCATGGATGTTAGCTCAGGGCTGATCTTCCTCACAAAAAAAAAAAAAAAGATAAGGATAGATTGCAATCTCTGCACGGTCAAGCACAGTGACTACTCTAATTCCATTTCTATAGCACCAAGTATAACATCATACACAGATGCAAACCTAATACTTTCTTTTATCACAATGATAGATATCTGGAGTTAGGCCAGATTACATCTAGCCAAGAAAATTAACTATTTACTAAGTTAGAAATTAGATCATCATAGTATATCTCTCAAAATATTTTATGTTGTCTTGTTCTAAAGGAACAACATAGAAATTTTGTAGAAAGTAGTTTTTCAGAATCTGGTATACCTGAGAAAAACATGATAGAAATTACTGCTTGAGCTCCCACTAATTTTTATTGGTACAAAAATTATTTTTATTTACAAGAGGCTTCCTGCAAAATGTTGGTCATTTCTAAGACACTGTAAGATTTGAAATCAGTATAAGTGAAGTGGTGTTAGGACTAGGAAACTGATCATCAGTTTATCACTGTATCCTCATCATGAAAACAACTTTTATTCCAGGGGTTTGATAAAATAAAATTCTTGTTACAAAACAGCATTGAAGAGGAGGAAGAAGGTGGAAAGAGCAAACACTTTGGACTTAAACAGACATGGCATTGAAACTTAGCTCTTCCACTTACTAGCTTTGTGACTATGGGCAAAGCTGAACCACTCTGTGTCTGTTTCCTGATCTTCAAAACGGGCATATCAAGAATGCCTTTTTTCCCCAGGAATTTGGTAAGAGTTAAATGAGTTAACATGGGAGACAGAAAATGAATAAGTTCTGGGGATCTAATGCATAGCATTGTGATTATAGTTAACAATATTGTATTATATACTTGAAAGTTGCTAAGAGACTAGATCTTAAATGTTCTCACCACGAAAAAGAAATGATAATTTCGTGACATAATGAAGGTATTATCTAACACTACGGTGGTAATCATATTGCAATATATAAGTGTACCAAATCAACACACTGTATAACTTAAACTTATACAATGTTGTATGTCAATTATACCTCAATAAGAAAATGTTTGGAACTAAAGGAAAATAAAAACACAGAAGATACTTGGTACATAGTAACTGGTACCTTCTTACTGTTGTTATTATTCTTTTGCTTAGTGTTAATTTTAGTTTTATCTATGTGTTGCTTCCAGTTACCATGAAACCAGTAAATGTATACATTTTTTCATTGATTCCTTACTGTGAGCACTGGTTGAAGACCAATTCTCACTCTATAATTCACAATGAACATTTTAATTTTAGACGAGGAGAGCTATACGGCATTACAGTCAGAGTAGTTTATCATACTGATTTGATTCCATAATTTCCCTCTTTAACTTTCCTTTCCTTTTCCTTCCAAAATAAGGCCCCACTATGCTTGAAGTTCTAGGAGCATAGAAGAAGAGAGATAAGGCTGCTACCAATCTGCCTATCACAATAATTAAATTTAACTGCAGAGTTAGATTCGAAACCTATGGCTCCTAAGACCATCTTTGGTTGCCCCTTATTATTCCTCACTAAAATTAAACCATATTTATTTATTTGATTATTTATGTATCCATTCATGTATGTTAATAGTTATAATCCCACCTACCTTCAAAAGACATCTGAGGAGTGATCTTATGATCAAAGCCAACGTACAATTATCATAGGGTAAAGGAGAAAAAACAAGTAGTAAGCAACTCGGGGACATTCTACTCTACTGGCATCTTTCTTTTCTCTCCATTTCTTCCATCTTTTTTTCTTTTATTGCTCCTTGTTCTACCTCTTTTCTTTAACCCCTGCCAATAACGCCTCGAGTCTGCCAACACCTTCACTTAGGTAAGGAGGCGGTACTCCAGCTGAAGAGACTGCAGCACAGCCAAGGTGGATTCTCAGAACTGCCTTTCAGTGGTAAATTATTTAGAGAAAGATGAAGTAAGAAGCCTGGGGTGAAACTGAAGAAGGCAGCCTTTAAAAGGCAGAAGGTGCAATAGCTAGCATTATATAAATTAGAATTTAATCCCACTGCAACAAAACAATGGAGATAACTCAAAGTTTCCTGAAATGGGATTCTGACCTGTAACGGTTTTCTAATTTCAGTGTACAAGTTAGAAGTAGGGTTAAACATTTTCTGTAGTAACTGCTTATAATTAAAGTATACATATTATTCTCTCCTCCCCCCTCATCCCTCCTCTCTCTCATCCCAGAATAAATCAATAAGAGTCACCTGCCTTGGATTCCTGAAGACACTCACCTGTATTAGAATTAAGATCATCAGGCTCTGATTCCGTCCCATTTTGGCTTCCATTTCCCTGAAGAGTGTTCATAGCCATAAGCTTCATCTTCTGCAGCTTCATCGCCTCAGCCATTGCTGCAGCTGTTATTCCTAAAACCAGAACCATCCCTTTTAAAACAAGGACCATTTCTTAATGTAATTGAAAGCTGGATACATTTCATAACAGGCCTATGCTGCACAGCACAAGCCGAAAGTAAACCCAAGTCTAATTTTTGAATAATATTCTTTAACAAAGTAATTTTCAACTTCTGTAATTACTTCATCTTACAGACAGTTTGAAAATCTAAAAAACATTGAACATGAGTCTGATCCCCAATTCAAGACACAGAGAAAACAAAGAATAATATGAAAATTGCTTAAGAAATTCCAAAACTCTTACTAATGTGTTCTGCTGTCTGTTAAGAGCTACTGACCGTTGCTTTAGACAGAACTCAGCAGGTACTAAATTCCGTCTAAAACAACATTGTCAGAGGAAGCACTCTGAAACGCTAGAAGGAAATGCTTTCTAGTTAATATTCTTGTTGGCACCTCTGCTAAAGGATGGACTGTCTTCCCTGTGAGAGTCACCTTAGGTGGGGGAGAAAAAGACTTCAGGTAGTCTTTCTGCCCTTTTACCGTCCTCGTCCTTATATACTGAGGGACCAAATAAATAAAAACATGGCATGCCACCTCTGAAAGTATGCCAGCCCCTGAAGTATAATTACATTATTTTGTATTAACATAAGGCAATTATTTTTTTAACTCCAGATAATGGTGCAAAGAGGTAGGAATAACCACCCCCCACCCGCCAAAAAAAAGTGACTGCTTAAGTTTGAAATTCTTTCTTCTAGGAAGTCTATATCAGGCGGTATCATAAAAAATATATAAGGAAACAAGTACTAAAAATAGAACAATTCATACTCCAGCAATGCCCTCCAAAAAGTCTAGTAAATTCAACTTAATTATTTTTAGACAGTGTTGAAACCTCTAACCATCTGTTAGTGCACTGGTGCCATGGGCCAAAATGAAAAAAAAATTCTGGCAGATTTAAAATAGTATTTTAGAATTCAGTGAAATCCATTCTCCCGTGCAAATGCAAATCAAGGAAAAGAAGGCATATACTGTTTGTTGTAAAAAGAAAACATAACTGCCATTATTAGAAGAATCTGATTCTAAGGGGTAGGGTGAATCCTTATCAAAAGTGTAAGGGGAAGTAAGTACAGCCTAGAACATCTAACTGTGTATGTTTGGGAGAATCACTAAAGTTCTATTTTGCTACTCTGTACTCTTTACAATGCATGGAAAACTCAAAATGAAGCAAACTTTTCACCACACTAGCTTGCCTATGAATCATGGCAAAGAAAGACTCAAAGAAAATTGCTTTAGTCTCTGAATTGATGATATACATTTGTACATTTTCTAGATGGTCCCAGAGATTTTCTTTCCATATTTATTGAATTCAAATCCTCCAAATGACCTGTCCAGCATCCAAGGGTAACTCGGGGCAGAAAGTATGATGGCAATGATTTAAACAAAGGGACCCTGCTTAGGACTGCCAGGGCTGAGCGCCTTATAAGCAAAAATATATCAGGATCGTATGGTAGTTCTATCCCTAATTATGATCTCACTCATTAAGTAGTAGATAATAACAACAACAAACAAACACATAGAGACAGAGATTGGATTGGTGGTTACCAGAGGGGAAGGGGGGAGGGAGGAGGGTGAAAGGGATAATTAGGCACATGTGTGTGGTGATGGATTGTCATTAGTATTTGGGTGGTGAACATGAGAACATGATGTAATCCATGCAGAAATAGAAGTATAATGATGTATACCTGAAATTTATACAATGTTATAAACCAATGTTACCGCAATAAACAAACAAAAAAATAAATTAAAAAAAAATAAAAGAAGAAAACAAAAAAGTATATCAGGAAAAGTTTCCAGAATTTATATCAGCTCCTCTGACTACCAGTTCAGAACTGGATCCTGACTATGATAATTATTGAATTACTAGTTGTTTCATTATTGATAGTGTAAATAGTAGATTTTTGTGAACAATAAATGGATTCTTACTCTGTGAAAAATAAAAGTCAACAAAATATCTTATAGACAAGAAATTCCATGTAAAATGTATGTCTCATACAATGACACTAAGAGAATTAATGAACAAGAGTCCCATCAGATTTTTAATTCATAGAAAAGATGGTAAGTTCCAATATCTATGCATTCTTTCAAGTAAACGCTATCTGCATGATATCATTGAGGAAAAAGTCAGTGAGCAAATATAGAAACTAATATTAAGGTAGTGAAGAATCATAGTATAATAGCACTACAAAGATATTTGGGGGCCATCTAGTTCAATCTCTTCATTTTGAAGATGAAGAAACAGTTTCACAGTGACCTGTCATAGGTCAGTTATTTAGGGGAAGATATGGAGCAAAATCCAAGTTTCCCAATGAGACTTAGATGTGTTTGTTAAAATACCAAAGTAGTTCAAACAAGAGTTAATGAAAATCTCTAAAGGGACATGATCCCCTTATCACGTACAGTCTCATATTGTTAGTTGTCCTTCTATATCTCCTTAAATCTGATTCAAGGTTTAGAGGCCTAGACACTAACTCATATATTTTGTATCATCTCATGGTCCCTATTGCAGTGACTTTAAACTTATGAAACATTAAATCCTATTTGTTCAGTCTTTAGTACACACTTAAATATCTATGTCTTCAGTAAAACCACAATCAAGCAAATGGAAAGCAGTGGAAAAGATGTTATGGTTTATTTGACTGTCAATTAGCAATTTATCCTTTTATTCAACTGTTCAGTTAAATTCTTAACCTCAAGATGCCTCTCAGTGTAACGCTGATGGATTTAAAAAAGCAAATCATCTCCTGGCACCAAGTTCTCAAAATGCAGCCCTGGAATAGCACATAAAAAGAGCAAGCTGATTTAGAAGCTGCTAAGTTAATTTTTACTTGGGAACCGGAATTTCAGCTTGCATCAGACAAGTAGAAAATGGTAAGTTTAATGAGAAGGAAAAGATGCCTTTAAAAGTGAAGGTGCTACAATTATAGGAAAATAACTACCTAAACATAGCTAGACATATAAAAGTTGTCTTTTTCAGTCACTGAATCTGAAAATCATAACTTTTACATTATGTTCAAATTACATATATTTAACTGATTGAAATAGATTTGGGAAGGCAAAGACAGTGTTATTGGGAAAGCATTCACCTTTTGCACTTTCTGATATTTGAGTATTTACTTCTGTAATCTCAGCACCTTCCATTCTTGTTCACCTAATTTTATGATTTGACTCAATGTCTAGTCACTACAATTATTGACCAAGTCATAATGTACAGCCCTTATGGTAATTTACACTTACTTCCTAATCTAAAGTAAACATAACAATATTCAAATGCCCAACATATCATAATTTTATGTGTGTGCATATGTGTGTGATAGACTATTATTGTTAGCAAGTATTGTCAAATTCATAAAAGAACCCTCAACTAAATTGGAGTTGGGAAGGCCCGTAAGGGGAGCTCTCATGCCCTATCATACATCCTCAGTTACTCCAAACAGGAAAAGACCTACCCTTGCATCTCTGACAGGAAGGTGTTTACTACTTTACTAGTCAGCAGGAGGAAGGAAGATTTCTCTCCCCATCTGGCAACAGCCCAGTCAATGAAAGAGTGTAGCACCCCAACCAATGGAAAGCCTCTACACTTTGGACTCCCAGTTTTCCCCAATGGACTTTTTGTTTATTACGGCCCCTCCCAACTCCCCCTTTTTCCCTATAAAAGCAAGCTCCTCTCCTCTGTTCTCTAGATATCCCTATGGTCCGCCATAGCCTGTATATCCCGAATTGCAATTCTTTTGGTTGTTCCCAAATAAATTCATTTTGCAGGTAAAACAATTGGCCAATTTACTTTTTAAGTTGACAGTATACAAGCATAGAGTGGTGAGAAAAGTTCTTAAGAGTTGCAAGAACTTTAATGAATATCTAAACCAACCCCTCCATTTTAGAAATGAAAAACTGAGTCCCAGAGAGAAGTGAGGGGCTTAATATAACACAGCCAGTCAATGATAGGGCTAGGATGAGAACTCATGTCTCCTGACTTTTACTGCAGGTGCTTTGTCGACTAATTCCCACCTTCTTAATCTTGATTTTAATTTCTTTAAAACTCTCTAAAACGGGCCTGCAGAGATGCATCATATGTCACTGACCAGAACAATGGAGAAATTGCATCATACAACTTCCCAAGGCTTCAGTTTATTCATATGCAAAATGAAGGAGTTGAACTAAATGGTCTTTATACTCCTTTATGAAGCAATAATTCTGACCAGATTTACTTCGTCCTATATAGTCTTCCCAAACTCCTGTGATTTTGCATTACCCATGCATGGCCTAAAGCAATATTTTTCTTGCACTCCTTTCTCACTAGTAAACAAGCATTAGACTTACAACTTTATAGTCCTCAAACTAGACGTGCAGGGAGAAAAATCCATAGCTTGTAGTAAAATTTACAAGTAAAAAAATAAAAAAAATTAGTGAATTTGGGTTCTCAACAGTGATCTGAACAAAAATTAAGGCAATTTTATAGTTTCCTAATTGGTTATACTGCCCATCCTTTCACATTAATTTGAAAGCTTTTTCTGCCAAACTGTGAACAAGTAAATTAACAAAAGGAGAACTGTGAGTAATCAAATCTTGAGGTTTACAATTAATTAAATGAAATGGCGAGTCAGTTCACTGCAATATGGTTTTATATTTTAAAAGTAACATTTAATCAAATTAACAAAGTATTGCATTAATAATATCCCTCCAAAAATGAAAAGCAGTTTAGATCTGCCACATTATTTCACTCTACCAGTCAAGTACTGTGTCTTGGCTTGTTTATTATTTGCATTCAAAGCTACTTTGGGTCAAGTATGATGTACTAAAACATGAATAATGAAACATCTGGTGGTATGAAATGTTAATGCGATATACCACATTGAATCTAGTGGAAACAGTTTTGAAATTCCCTATAAATCAACTCAGAAAATGTAAATTTTTCCAAAGAGAGGTAGTATTCAGGTTCATTCTCAGGAGATGCTTA